TAACTATGTTTGGCATGTGGAATATATTTGTATAAAGAATGAAGATTTATACAAATATCAATAGCGTATATGAGTTGCTTACATTCTCTGCCTTGATTCCTACATGTCAATCACTTCTCTATTCTCACAAAATCTTGAAAATAATGCTAACATATATTTGGTGGGGAAGTTGGAAATGAAATAAATATAAGTGAATATAAATTTGTTTCCGTAGCTGCTACTAATCTTGATTTTTCACGCTTTTATCTGCGAAAAGTATGTCCTCAATCCGTGCAACGATGTTGTATGCCAAACCTTCCAAAACTCTTGAATAGCTCTCTAGAACTGCTTGCCCTACATCCTGCAACGAGGTGAATTTTAGATATTTCTTGCTCATAGCATAGATTCCTAAATGTATTTGTATGAGATAAGAACTCGCCTTATTGTATTGAATCTTGCACGTATCCAACGTTGTTTGTGAAAGTTCAGGATATCTTTGCTTCAAATAAAACAACAAACTCTCGGCCCTTTTGGCCAAGAGATGGTTCTTATCACTTCTATCAATATCAGATACCAGATCCTTAACCATGTCCCATGATGATTTCGAGTGAGCTAAGCATGCTTTACGTCTCCATGTGTGCATTGAAGCTTCGACCTTGTCTGCGAGCTCGAGTGCTTCATGTTCAGAGGTTATATTGAGAGAGTCGAGGAGATGATCAGGAGAAAAATTATCTGCAGTGTACATGTAACGATAAATTGTATCGCCTATACTTGCTTTTCCACTCTGAAATCACCAAAAAAATGTGGTTTTAGAAAGTGATGAAATGATGAATTCTCTCCTATATTGGAATCATTTTGGATTTTCCATGATGCATCTACCTACCTTAGGAAGTGATGCCATGTATGATTCTGGAATCTCCATTTCAGCAAGAATGCAATTGTTTATGGCCATTGCTGCTTTGTGAATTTGGTTGGTACAAGAGCGTTTTTGACGCAAATGCTTCTTCGATTTCTCGGAGAGACCTGCCGGGGAAACACAAGGAACCGGCAGCCACCATTTCTCTTCTTTGCCGTGAGGACGAACTATATCCCTTAATGATCCAGAACGCGTCAAATTCCCCGACATACTTCCCCCTTCTGCATACCAAAATTCAGTCCCCTCAAAGTTATCTAATACTTCCTGTCACATTAAATTCGTTTCATTAGAAGCTTAAATTTTGGGGGAAAAACATGATCATTCTATAGAAATGAATATTTAATTGTTCTTGATCTTACCAAGAGCATTGCATCAAGTTTTTTCAATGCTGGAAGATTGATGTGAATATCTAACCTTGGTTGACTTGACATCACCTGAAATTAATCTACTTGTCAAGCAACACGAAAAATGGCAAAGTTTACCTTACAAAACTGCATTAAAAAAGTCCTCACCTCCAAAATAGTCCCGTCTTTTAAATTCTGTGACGTAGGAGTGAATTCTACAATATAGTCGCATACTAATAGAAGGCAATTCATTTCTCTCTTCCACATTGACTTTTTCACCGGATGCAGAGGCTCCAGTTTCAGATGCTGGCCAAACACCGAAGCTGCATGACAAAAGTTAACGAGATTTGTTAAAAAGAGTATGAAGGAATCTTTAAAATGTTGGGTTATATACATTTCAAATAGTACCATAAAGGTTTGTTATGGCATTAGAAATAGTCACTGCAGTGCAAACTCCTTTCCCACCTCCTGACATGTCCTCCCCCAACAACATCTTTGAAAATTTCTCCTTCATCAATTCTAATTCTGCAATGTTACAATACTATTAGGGCGTGTTTGGTACATCATATTAGTTAAGACAGACATTCCTCTTCTCTGATATTGTTCAGTACGAAATATAATCTAACGTGCAAATAACTATGTAGACTCACCTACATCTGTCGATACCTCATCCGGATTCTTCTCATCCAAGCAATGCCTATGCTGACTCATAGTCATCCCTAGTCGAGAAAGAGCTGCACGCGTTGGAGACTTCGTCCCCGGCCAGCAGATAGGAGAGGCTATCTCGGAGTAATTATTATCATCCGTGTGCTCCGTAAAGGCTGATGTCTCCGAATTTGTTCTGCAGTATGCAAAAGAATCTCGACTCAGGATCGAGTAACTGGGAGTTTCTGTTGGTGATTGATCAGTTTGATCCAAGTACGAAGGTGAAGGATGATATCCCATTTCATAATTCTCATCAGAATTTAATATGCTGTCCATTTCTTGAACTTCTGGGCTAATCCCTCTATTCTGCAAGAATTTGTACAGAATTGTCAAGAAATCACTAAAGATAAACATAGTTAGAGATTCTTGAACAAATTCTCCCACACAAGATTGAATACAAAATTGCTCCGGAATCGACTTAAATTATACAACAATTTTGTATAGAATTGTGAAGAATTCATTTGACAATTACATAGTTTAAGATTCTAGAACAAATTCTTGCACAAAAATTGAATACAAAACTATCCTGGATTGATTTAAGATTGCAGAACCCAAAGATACAAGAAAATAAAACATTTATCCATTTTCAAGAAAAAGCAAAAGAACCTGAACTTATTGCCGCACAGTTTCTTTACATAGAACCGTTGTAAAGCAAAACACAATCGTGAAGATAAAATAAAAATTGAAATTTCTAAAACTAAAGCTAACGGTAAAGGTAATTTACCTTTTGACAGTTTCAGGTTGAAATTTGAACAGTGGAAGGCTACCGTTGGAAAAATTTCTTTCTAACTCATACAATAACCCTTCGAAAGAACCATATTTACTTGAACAAAATATTCAGAATCTTGAATAAAAAACAATCTCAGCCATTGATCACAAAAATTTCTTGATAATCGAATGAAGTAACCAGAACCCAGTTGATAAAATTGCTTTTATTTTATGATGAATTTGAAGGAAAGGTGGAGAAGAAGATTGATCAAGATTTGGGTGGACAAGTACAGTGAAGCATTCGTGTGTTGTGAATTAGTTGGAAATGACACGATACTTATACGTACATGCATAGAAGCGCAGGCACCGGCCCAATCATAGAGAGATAATTTTTATTGTTACTATACTTTGTAAATAAATTACATTAAAGTCAAGAAAAATGAATAAAATAATTTAAAACAACTAATAATTTTACATACCATTAATGACATTAAACACTATATTCATTTAAGTGTTGAGGACATGAGAGCGGTCAGCGGCAGACGGCAGTAAGTTCACTGGCACATTATCCAATTCGATTAAGTTCAAATTTTTTGAAAATACGGTAACAAGGTATTAACTTGTTGATGGTTTATATTTTGCAATAAATTATGTGTGGGCCCGAAATTAAAATTTCCGTCGATAATTTATTAAATTTTTCCATGAGAGATGAGTATTTTTTTTTTTTACTTCTATTTTTCGAATTTTAATTTATTTCGTAGATAAGTTTTGTATGACAATATGTTGCTCTATTTTTACCTTCTTCTTTTTCAATACAAATTAAAATTTATTTAAAATTGAAGTATGGAAAAAAAGTCAAATTCATCTTCTTATTATTAGTTTATTGAGTTATTTAAAGTCAAACATAAAATAAGTTACAAATTTTATAAATGCATTCAAAGTAGGTGTATTTTAATTTTTTAATCTCTACTAACTTCTACGTGGTCAAGAAGGTGAATAATTTAATTTAATACTCAAAGTTTAGGCCCACTGATAGGACGTGGATAACACTAATTTTACATATAACTTGTGACGTGCAACGTTGTGCTATGGCACAATTTTTCAATGAAATGCATGAATCTTGATTTTAAGTTGAGTTGACCACAAAATATTTGAAATATCAACACGAGAAGAAATTCTTATATGTTTAATCATTTCTGGTGATTAAACATATTTATAAAATTCATATATTTATTTTGCGATCTCAGTTCTTCGGAGGTATCGATGGTTGGGATGATAGTGATTTTGTGCTAGTTCGTGGTGACTGATTTTTGTGGTAGTTGTGGCCGACGTCGGGTGATAATTTAGGGTTTGGAAGTGGTGGTTTATGGTGTGAGGTGGTAGAAGTTTAGTGGCGCAGATGGTGGCCAGTTTTGATATGACGCATGGTGGTGTAATACGGTATGGTATAAGTTGGTGGACAATTGGAGGCAAAGATAGTTTAACACTAAAAGTTACAATTGGTGGAGGTTTATGGTGACAACGACGACGACAACAATGTAAGATTGAGTGTTATAAGTGTAATAATATTTTTTTGCAAGTGAAGGTGGCGACGTGGTGGTATAATACCAAATGTTATAAGTTGTGGCAATATCAACGATAAAAATAGGCGACATAATGTATGATGATGATGATGATGATGATGATCCCATATACCGATTGAGTTATTACTTCATTCTAGTCTGATCTAACTTTTATTTTTTCTATTTTTTATTTTTGAAGGCATCTATCTTTTATTTCTTGATAGATTTGTTCTTAACATTTTATAAATTAGCATCATCCTGTGCAAGATCTCACTTATTCAAATTTGTCATTTCACTCATACAAAAGCTATTAAGATAATGCTAAATTTTAATATTGCATTTTGAGATGGAGAATAAAAATAGGCTAATTAGCACAAAACGTCCTTACCTTTGGGGTGGATTTCAGAAACCGTCCCTACCTTTCATTTCTTGGCATTTATGCCCTTACCTTTGGGATTTTGGTGCGCTGAACATCATTTTCACTGTTTTTTGACGATTTTACCCTCCATTCAATTTAGACACAAAGAAAAGAAAAGA